TGATTAAATACTGTATTTTTTTCAGATATTGAATTTTTCTTTACGTTTTCCAGGAGACATTCACGGTCAATACACAGATCTTCTCCGTCTATTCGAATATGGAGGCTTTCCGCCAGAGGCCAACTACTTATTTTTAGGAGACTATGTCGATCGAGGAAAACAATCTCTGGAAACCATATGTCTTCTACTTGCCTACAAAATAAAATATCCCGAAAATTTCTTTTTACTGCGAGGAAATCATGAATGCGCCTCGATCAACAGAATATATGGTTTTTATGACGAATGCAAACGGCGATTCAACATCAAATTGTGGAAAACATTCACAGATTGTTTCAATTGTTTACCCATTGCTGCGATTATTGATGAGAAGATATTCTGTTGTCATGGAGGTCTTAGTCCAGATTTGCAGGGTATGGAACAAATCAGACRTATAATGAGACCTACAGATGTACCGGACACTGGTAAGTTTTAATAGTCATATGTAATCGACTTTAATGTGTCTCATTAGTTCGTGGAAAATCAAAGCTAGTTTAGCGAATAATGCAACAAAATTGTATCAGCCTTTTTAAATTTTCAACTTCAACATATTGATTTCAAGCCAACAATGCTAGTCCTCGTCGGAATAGAGCTTTCTCATTTTGAGAATCCAATTGTAACGCTTTGTTGGCGTCTGCTTTAGCTTCGAAATTTTCATCTAGCTTCAAATTACATATACTCATGTTCAAATATGCAGCCAAAAGAAGCGCCTTTCTTTTCTCGCCAATATCTCCTTCAGTATCTGGAAATGTGTAAAATAAATGCTATTTTCTGTACTGACTATTGTAGATGCGACATTAAACATAAAATATGTTTTATTTATGGAATTAAGATGGGGTCATCTTATATTTTACCAATTTCGGATTACTTCTAAATGTAATAAATTATATAGCCAGCTCACCAGTTTCTTCCGATTCCAAGTAACTTGGGATTTTCTTATAAAACTTGTTAGCGTAAGTGTAATTGCGTTTCATAAAGTATTTTGTTCCTTTTTCTTTTAAGATTATGCATTGTTGTATTTTCTCCGGTGTGTCCATTTGCCACAGTTCTTTGCTCTTTTCGAAACTTTTCAATGTAACAACATATTCGACTGTAGCATCTGGTGGTATACTAAACTCCAGAGAACCCTCTTCTCCAAAGGCAAATAAAGGGTCGATTGCTAATTTCGACGACTCTTGCTCTTTAAACTGTTTTAACGCAATATCAATGCCACTAATGATGTTGTCCTCGAATCCTTCTCCAATATTAAAGGTGGCATCTCGATCCTCAAAAATCCTCCCTTTGTACGAACCGGTTAAGTGAACTAGAAAAGTTAATGATCAGTACCTTTATCTTGATCAAAATCAAGTTAAATTCAATTTACTTTCAACTCGAGCACCATCGTTAGGTGTTATGAATCCTTTGCCGGGAGTTAAAATTTCCATTCTTTTGACGCCATTCTGTTCACTAGTTAATTCTTCTGCTTCCCAGTCAATCATTTCCACCTAAAATTCGCAGAATCTACTTCAGTGTTTATTTGTGTGATATGGCTTGGTAAGCAGTTACATACATCAAACTGTAATGTTGCATAAGGGGGAATAAGTGGAGGGCTTCCAGAGGCTCCATATGCGTATTCAGGAGAGCAAGTTATTACAGCCTGCTCTCCCTTTTTCATAGTGGCAATGCCAACGTCCCATGCTTTTATCACTTGTCCTAAAATTTCCAGTGTTTCACAGGATGCACACTAAATAGCTTGTGAACATGTTACCTTTTCCCAAATCGAATTTGAAAGGACCATCTCTATCACGGCTTGTGTCAAACTTGGTGCCATTCAAAAGAGTGCCTGTATAATGTACCGCCACCTTACAGCCCTGTGGAGGTAGAGCAGTTCCACATCCTTCCTTCAAAATTCGCTTCATAATTCCTCCATCCTTTTTAGGGCAAATATCGAAATTTGCCATCTTGCCGCTAATAGCTGTATAAAATATCACCAGTTTATTTAATGCTTTACACTACAAGTCACTGTGCTAGTGGAAAACCACATTCTGTTAAGACAAATTCCTCATTGGTATCAGAATTTGAAAGGAAATCTAAACCGCAGCTCAAACATAATATATGTTTAAATATTATCTAGTTTTCAAACAGTTGAGTCAGATGATTGTTTGAAAATTATAAACTTATATTTCAATCAAATCACACGTTGGGTGAATCAAATGACGATGTTTTTTAACTATTAAACATTTTGTAAACGATTGCCACGAGTTAGTAAACGACATGTATTGAACCGTTTTATCCTGATGCATGGGGTATGGAATGGCTGAAAAAGCTAGCAGAGCCACTGCAAAATATAATACGTTGATGTATGTATACAAGGAAATAAAATACACTTTCCTCAACCTGTTCCACAAATAATCTAAGTACTTAGATGACTTGGAAAAATTGGAATTTTACCAGACTCCTGATAGCCCATCAACTGTCATCAATCATAATTAGAGCCAAAAATTTAAGTAAACCTGGCCACCCATCGCTTCCATCCGGAACTGCCTACCCAAGATTAAAAAGTGGAGCCAGCATGAAGGGTTACATTAAAGCAGTTAGAACATTCAAAGCTTTGAATAATCAGCTCTATAGAGATTTCGAAAAGTATAATTCTACTCCCAAAGACAGGGTGGTCTAGTTTCCAGAGCAGAAGCTTGAGAGGACAATAGAGAATCGGGCTTACTTCTAACTTAGAAAAATCAAATTTTCAAATTGTTGCCTAACAGCAGCTGTGGATATTTAAATGATATTTCGCAGGCACATTGCCAATGAAGGAGAACATTTTGCAATATAAAGATTTTTTTGTTTCGTCAGTGGCTTCCCTACTAATGGTTTTATGATACGCCATACGATATGACTTCATAATATAAAAATCACTGTTGGATTATCCATTCAGTTTGAAAGGAAAGGTTTCCTTTCATTTTTTCTTTCAATTCAGCGTTTTCAAGTACAAAATTTAAAATCCCTGATAATTATTTAACGAAACTAACGTAATAAAATCACAAATAATTTGTGGTGTATCACAAGAAAAATTAAATAAATTGCTCGAAATCTAGTTCACTTCAATACATTTTCGACATCGTCTAACGTCTAACAAATGAATTTATCGCAGCTGATACTTAATTGGGAGTTTGCCGCATATCATTGATGAATTCGTAAAACTAAATCTTTGATTGGAACTGAAGTAGAATCAACTTGCCCCTAAAAGTAAGAATCTGATGCTCTGGTGGCCAGGCCCATTCATAATAATTGGTTTAGGTACAAAAAAATATATATTATGAGATGGTTATATTACATTTCAAGCAATTCCTCTAGTTTTCGTTGATGAACAACATCACAGATTGATATTGTGATTTTATTAAATTATTATCAATTATTTTTACTTAAAACGCTGAGTTGTACATTCAAATTGAAAAACAACTTTTTTCTTTCAAACTGAATGAAATGATTCTTATTTTATGAGAAAGTTGTCGCGTATTATTTTAAAAAAACATCCCAAATCAAACAAAAAATTTGGTTCCTATAGCGAAATAAGAGAGCAAGTTTGTGTGCTCGTCTGCAAAAATTAATTAAATTTTTTGCAGTATTTTTAAAGGGCAGTGGGCCATATGGTTTAACACATTTGAAGGTTTTTAAATACTGGACTAGGCTAGTGAAGTCGCACGAGCTTTTAGAGGAACTAGAGAGACATGCTATTGAGTTCCAAACCAGATAACATTTATATATTACCACCAGAGAACGCAAATGTTGAAATTATAGATGGAAACTCTGGTGAGGAAAATAATATGTACTTGAACATCCTAACTGGCGGTCAACTGTGTGCACAAGCAGAAGTAGAGCTCAACCGCGATCAGCACAAGGAGGAAGACGAGTGGGAAAGTGAAGATACAATAATGCCTTTATTAGGGCAGAAAGACCAATATGGTCGATAGCCTTTTTCTGTAGGAAATAAAGATTATTTATATATGCCTTTATTACCCTACATAATGTGTGGCTACCATAAATACGATTCTCCCTTGGAATAATTTTTCATCTTTTTTGACGAAAAATTTTCAAATTGTCTCAGGAATGAGATTCTTTTTTTTTGGGGTGGGTTAGTAAGCGGATATGTTTGTCATCCTCGGCGATACACGTTTTGGGAACACTCGAAAGACATCAGCAATGCGTTAATTTGTGAAGTCCTATCTAGAAACAGATTCAAATGTATGCAGAATATACATTATTGTG